CAACTCTAATACACTCAGAGAATGACAGATCATCTCTGAATGACTGCTTAATTTAATCTGGTTTAGACAGATAGTAGTTGAATGGCAGGGCCAGTTGCCAAGGGAATGGTGGGACAATCTCTCTTTGCAGCTTTCCCAGTTGCAAGACTGGGTTGCTGGGGGGAGGGTGGGGGGGTTGGGGGGGAGGGGGAAACGGCCACAGCTCTCCAAAGGGGAGGCGAGATAGCCTCCCTCATTGTGCATCAAGTGCTGGCTTTGACCTCTGCATTATACAGCGGCAGCATTTACGCAGAATTGGTTTGAAAGAGACACCTTCACATCCTCAGATGGTCTTTCAGATAACACACTGCCTAGGACCAAACTTCCTTTCCTGTAAGCTGATAGGGGGAAATCCAAAAAGCCAGTACACCATGAGAACATTAGAAGAAAGAGGAAGAAAGCAAGTTAAAAGAAGTCAAGTGCAGCTGAAGCAGAGGAAGAGAACTGGAATTACCGAGGGCGCCCGTCTGTATGAAGGTTCTACAATTCCTGGTGACATTATCTTGAGGAAGGAATTTAAATAGCAGCCGAAGGAGTTCGGCGCTGAGATGAACTTTTTAAAATAAAGATTTAAAAAAAGTTTTGCACCACTGCAGGAAGACAGACGGATGCGCCAAGATTGGCACATTGAGGACAGAAAGCAGACACATCTCAAAAGAATCTCTGGCGCTGGTCGGGAAAGACACATTTGTCTATTTTATATCTTTTATTCTCTCTTACACATGATGTTTGGGATTCTGCAGAACTCTTCTTTATGGACTCTAAAGGAATAGTATAAATGTCTTTAGCAAATTCATGAATTCGAAGGAGGGGAAGGGGTAAGAAGGAGAAAAATAATAGGAAATTCAGCTTCTTTCATTTAGTATCTCGACACAGAAAAAAGGCACTCCATATGTGCCTGGTTTAAGAATAGTTTTCCACTTTAAACTTGTTCTTACCCTATCCAACACAGCAGCGTGGAAAAGCACATTGCTTCTACTTGAATCACACAAAGGGATGTTTGACTCAGTATATGGCTCAAAATCCTATTTCTTTCCCCTGGGCCCCATGCCACCCACTGTTCCCCATCCATTCTACCCACTACCAGAGGTTGATCCACCCAGTACCCACCACCTGCAGGATGCAGTGACTTTTTCTCTGGAAAGCACTTCTCTATCAGATGTGACTATAATCTCTTCTTGCCTTTAAGTAGGAAGCTGGCAGGGAGAGTTTGGAAATTGCCAGAACAGAGGATTCTCACTTTTGGATTTTTCCTTTCTTCTTTGGACTGAATACTGAATTCAGAATACTGAATATCTTGCTTGACTATCATGTGGACCATAGACCTGAGAGTCCATCATGATTGGTTACCTAAGATTCCCACCTCAAACTCTTCCTGGCCAAGCTTTCCAAAGTGGCAGATGATGTATGGCCAATAAGGGAGGGCATGGAGACTCTTCCCCTGTGTGGTGGAGCGGAGTAAGAGCTTAGTGTGCTCTGTGGAGGCTCAGGGCAGAGCAGTGAGTGACAAGGGGAACAACAGGGAGCCCAAATCTTCCATTCATTCATCATTCATTCCTTCAGTGAATATATATGGCACATGTACTATATGCCAAACACTTTTTTAGCTGCTGAAGAGCATTAGTAACTCCACAATTCAACAAAATCTCTGTGTCATGACTCTTTCTTTCTAGTGTGGGACACAGGTGAGAAACATGATAAATAAATGCATTATATAACTGTAATGTAGTGAAAATAAGCTGAAGGGAGGGAGGGCAGAAGCAGAGAGATGAGTTAGGAGACAAATGCAATAATCCAGCTGAACTTGTCAGGGAAATGAGTAGCAGTTTATAGGCTCTTTATGGCCTGTAACTTACCCTTTACAAGGTGGGTTCTAACGACCAGGGCCAAAAATTGCCTAAGCACTTCCTTGTTTACCCAAAATCAGGCTGGTACAGAACAGCAGGTGGGAACCGTCCCAAGTACAAGTGCATAAAACAGCCAGTTACCCTGCTTTTGGCACAGATCTCCCATAAAAGATTCTTGTGTTTATGTTGCTGGAGGTTTGTGGTTCTTTTCTAGAACCGCTTTCAAAGAGCCACACAGGCTGCATTTCCCTTTTCACTGTCTTACAAAAACAGCAATTGACCTTTTACGTTTATTTAGGAGCTTTGCCCATTGTAACAATTAATTTAAAGCTTATAGGAAATTAAACAACCCTCTCATATACTGGATTGGATCCTGGAACAGAAAAGGGACATGAGTGAAAAAAACTGGTGAAATCTGGATAAAATCTGTAGTTTAGTTAATAGTATCGTACTGATGTTAATTACTTAGTTTAAACGCACTGTGGTTAATGTGGCAAACATTCAGAGGTTAACACTGGAAGAACTGGGGTGAAGACTGTGAACTTTGGGTACCACCTTGGCAACTCTTCTGCAAATTTAAAATTATTCCAAAATAAAAAAAAATATTTTAAAAAAAGGCCCCTCGAAGGGAAAAGAAAAACATAAGAGTGATCACTTCAAAAGAGCTATTTTCAGAGGTAAAATGATCCATAGATATATTCTGCACATTTAGCCATTTTTATCCACTGTTAAGAAGTAGGTTGCTATTACCTCATAGATAGTTAGAAATAGTTCTCTTTTTCATGATTTCCTTTAGATCAAGCTGCATTTCAACACTTCTCTTTCCTCTTGCATTAAATGTACAGGCACTATTTCTACTCTCAAGGATCTACTCTGCTTAGAAAATAGGTATTTTTCAAAACTATTTACCAGTCCAAACCCTTGTCACTTGTTGGTTTCCTTTCTTTTTGCCTTCCTCCAATCTTCCAGGTTTTTATTCTTTCTGTGGACCACACCTTCACTGAACAAATGCAACTGAATGCAACTAGCCCTTGAACTGTAGCCCCATTTTCTTTTTTCCCAAAACCTAAATATGACCTTTTTTTGTTTGATGTGCTGAAGCTTTGGGGAAAGAAGTTTGCCATCATGTTAAAAAAAAAAAAATCTGATCTTCTCAATGTCTCATCATGTAGACCAGAAATGATGAATGCAAATGTTCCCATGGGCCAGGCAAGCCACGTAAATGTGTAAGGCAGTCAAAGGTAATGAATAACAACCTTCTGATGTAGCCTCCCTGGCCTTCAGATGATTATTCTGATTTTTCTGGGGGAAGTCGTGTCTTTTTTAGAACATCAGTGGAAGAAGCTTTGAGTCTGTTTCCAAGCCAGGAGCTTTATAAATACAGGTTATGGTTTAGTCAGGTTCGAAGGGAAAATGTGACCTGTTGCAGCTGGAAGTAGTAACCACGGAGGAACCAAAATATATGTTTCCACAGAAAATGGAGGAAAGCTTGATGAGATTTTAACTGGCTACAGATCACGCAGTGATGCTGTGAGGTCTTTGAGAATATTTCTGAATCACTAAGGCAGGACTGCATTTAAATTACTATAGGTGGTAGATATAACCTGAACCAAAAACACCTTACAAAGCCACTCTCCTGCTTATTGAGCAATAAATTCCTGTGTCCTACCATACGTTAGACTAAGAAAACTCTTCTTGGGGTCTACTTTACCTTTCCATCGCTAGAAATGAAGTCCATGGTAGATAGCTAAAACGAATAGGAGCAGACGAATATGACTAATATTCCAGGGAGGCTTTAATGAAATGTTCAAGATGCAAAGTATCAGATCAGATCCCTAACTGGCTTGAGCAGCCAGTATTAGGACCACGAGCACATTCAAAAACATTCGGCAATGGAACATGCAGTGATGTTCTTGACCTTGACTCTCTCCTTCATTCTTTGGGTATCCCAGGCACAGGTAGAGAATGATATCTTTTTGGGCCCTCTCGGCACAACAAGCAGTGTACACGAAACATTTTCCAGGGGATGCTGGGACTGCCCACCCAAGAAGGCTGCTCACTCTGGGCCACCCCCACCACGCCCTGGGGCAACCTGTATTCAGAGCTCTGCCAAGCCACAGACCAGACAGCGACCAGGCTAATGCATGTTCTCCCCCACACAACAAGACCAAGGATAATGATGAAAAGGCTCCCTCACAAAGCGCTATAGTCACCCCCTGGCTTCTGAAAACCTTGAGAATGAGGACAGCGCTAGCATCCCGCCCAGCTTGCAATTTCCCCCTCATAGCCTCCTGCTAAAAGCAGATTCAATTGCTAGGATAAATCCACCCTATCCAATTTTAGTCCTTGCTTTAGCATATGCTTTTCTATGAGGAGAAGGCTATAGTAACGGGATTGAACGGAATTACACCCAGCACAATAGTCCTTTCTATGCCAAAAGATAGATATTTTAAATTTGGAAACTGGAGCTATTCAGTTCTTTCCGTTTTACATCACGAAGTGAAATCAAAAAGAAGCATTCTGAGGTGGAAAGGTTAGTGCTTAAGCAACCGATGTGGCTCCTGTGTGTGCCACAGCTATGGGTATTTATGGAAATGCTTTTCTTCGTGATTCTGCATAGCACCTCCGGCTAAGAAAATAGTCAAGCCGCTTCATCACCTCATCCTTGCATACACCAATAGCAATAAGGCTATGCATGGAGGACGCGGAGGGATTCTTATCTCGGAAATCAGGTCACACTTATTGACATGGTAGCATGACAGCTATTTGCATTCTCTGCAAGCTCTTATAGCAATGTCACTAATCTCAAATAAAAATATTTTCCAGGTGTATTAAAAAAAATCCATTTGGGGAGTCAATAGCGGCCAAGGGTTCTGGGTGGGACTCTCAAGGCTGAGGGCTGAATGCTTCTCCCTGGCAATTTCTAAAAAATCAACAGTTGGACATTGATTTATCGGAGATGATTTAAGCTAATCTTACTTAGCTGTAGGGCAGAGGAGCTGAGGTTTGCGGTAGGGCAGAGGAGCCGAGGTTTCGGCAGTCCCTCCCGCCACCCGAGCCCGGGAGAGAAGGACACGCTGAGGTAAGCGCAGGTTCCATGCAGCATCTCCTCACCTCCCCCCAGGCAGCCGGTGGGGGCTCCACCGGAGGGTAGTACTTAGGCACATCCCAGGCCACTGCCGCCATGAACCATTTGAAGTCCTTGCACTTGAGCTGTTTGCGCAGCTCCTTCTGGGCGGAGATGTCCCCGGTGGAGAGGTGCCTGTATTCTGGGCGCCGCTGGTAAATGTACTCGGCGAATTCATCCATCCAGGTCTCAGCCACCCGCTTCAGGTTCTGTGCAGCAGAAAAGAATGCCATTTATTGACCTAGGCACTCAAAGGGTGATTTTCGTTGCACTAGATCTGGAAAAATACCAGAAGTTTGACAACCGCAGGCCGCTCTGGTTGGCGGCTTTTTAATAAATGGGAGTTGTCGTGACTACAAGGGGGTGCGATATGGTTCGTCTGAGGCCCTGCACACATTTCTGCTTCTGGCATAGGGTTCAACTGCCAGTTTGACAATTTATTAGATTCAGTAAAACTTCAGCTTACGATTACATCAACTTTCTCATCCCTCCTGTTATTTCATGATTATAAATTATTTTTCACGCAGAACTAAAGGAGTTGAAACTGGAGATAATGAAGTCCTCCCTAGGCATCAAATTGCTTAAACCATTTCAAGGAAAAGTTAGGATCTTGGAAAGAGTGAGGACAAACAAGCTGTTACTCTTCTCTCCCAATTACAGAGACAACCCAGCATTACTAAGTTCAAGACCTTGTGCTCAGATGATATTTTCTATGTACAATTCTGCTAAGCAGAATTCAGTAATTTATTCCACAATGAAGCATAATGAAGCTAAGGGAAGTACCAGCTAGCGGGTCTTCTCTGCAGATGTTTCCATGGGTGAAGGAAGCGGGAGGCTTCCCTTCCATCAGGTAGGGAACTACGCATGCTCCTTAGGGGCGGGAGACCGTGTGGGCCCTAGGGAGGAAGCTCCGCCCTTTCATCAATTTTGAGATTGAGCAAATAACTCATCCACTCCAGGCCTCAGATTCCTCACCTGAGAAGGTACAGATAGTAATATGTACCTACATCATGGGAGTGGTTGTAGGATTGAGTGAGGTAACACCTATAAAGTGGTTGGGCTTGTACTCAGCACACACTAGGTATTAGGGATATTATTATTAGCAGAAAGTAATTGGAGGTCCAGTGTTGGGCTTGGCCACAGATGAACTGAATTGTTCCCATCGTCTTTAGCTGAGATGAGATGTGCTCTGACACCCCATTCAGGCATATATATATATAAATATATTTAAAGATTTTATTTGTTTAACAGAGAGAGAATGAGAGAGAGCACAAGCAGGTGGGGTGGCAGGCAGAGGCAGAGGGAGAACAGGCTCCCTGACGAGCAGGGAGCCCGATGTGGGGCTTGATCCCAGGACCCTGGGATCATGACCTGAGCTGAAGGCAGAGGCTTAATGACTGAGCCACCCAGGCGCCCTGTGTTCAAATGCCTTATTTCAAGTACTCAGTTGCTGTGATATGGACCCTTTCAGTTTCTCATTTGTATTTAGAAGATAAAGTGAGCAGAATGGCTGGAAACTTTAATAAGATCCAGGTATAAGTGACTAAAGGAAAAACTAGTGATATTTAGGAAAATCATTTTCTCTTAAAAATTGTTACAGAATCCTAATTAAGGCCTGGAACTAGGCCCAGAGGTCTGCCAGGAGTCAGAGTCTCCAAATATCTCAGTCTTGTAAGATCGTCCACTTTTCTTGTTCTGTCCCACTACCTCTACCTCCAGTGTCCCCGATGGGCCTCTCTTCCATCTGAGCTTGTCTCCATGCACCCCTCCCCCTGCCCTTCCACTTGCTTCCATGCGCTCCTTGGTTGCTTTTGGTTGCCAGTAGACATGAGGAAGGGCTCAGTTAATACAGCAAGGTACAGAAAAGAGACAGTGCTACAAAGACTACTCTGATTTCTCGGTTGCCTCTGTGTTCCTTCCTTTCCAAGACTCCTGACATTGAGAGAAGAGTGTTTTTCTGAGGGATTATTGTTTGCCATCACTGTGCGGCCTGACATCCCAACAGCACTGCCTTGCCCATGACACTTTCCACTCCTTTGACTCCAGTTTACCTCGACAGATGATCAGAGTCAGAACCAATGTTGTTTTGTAATATTCTAGCCCTTGCCACACATTCTGAACTGCCTGATTTGTTTGGAGAAAGATAAGGAAACGGATGATGGTGGAGGCTTCTGCTCTGTGATGGCGCCACGCACTACACACACCTGTAACATTTATGTATGAGTCTTCAACATCATCTCGCCATTGACCTTTCATTCTGATAAACGTTCTGGATGAAATGCTTGGTATTTTTATCTGTCCTTGGACAGACAATTTTTATGATTAGCAAAAAGATTCAAAGATAGAATGGAAAAAAATTAATCAATAATATTAAAACTTTATTTATATTCAAGTTAGATTTTAGGCTGCGGTTCCAACCTTTATCCTAAAATCCAATTATTATATAAAATATTTAATATATTTAATTTCCACTACTTTATGCCCTTCCCTGATAAATGAAAGTGAATAAAGGCAGGGGAATATAAAAAAGCAGAGGCAAAGAGGTAAATTACCCAGGAGTAATGAGAAAATGACTTTATTAAGTAGAGACATGTCTTGAAAATTCTGATAGCTTTGTCACTAAGCTATCTATTTTGACTTGTGTAAATAAGCACTTTTAGACTGTACATTCCATGAAGTTACGTATAGATCTGTTTTTTAATTTAAAAACCCAGCACCTTGAATGATTCCAAGCACATGTACGTGCTCATCTGGGCATGCTAATTGCTGAATTAAAAAATATATTAAAAATGAATGTGAACAAATTCATAGTGTGTGCATATATCCAATGGTAAAGGCACTGAAATAGGAACAATTTTTTAAAAAGTGCTGGTGCCAAAGGGTAGATATTTGTTGCTTTGGATTTTTTAAAAAAGATTTTACATTTATTTATTTGAGGTGGAGGGGAGAGGGACAAGCAGACTCTACACTGAGCTCAGAGCCCAACGTGGGCCTCGATTTCACGACCCCGAGATCACGACCTGGGCTAAAACCAAGAGTCGGTTGCTTAACCTGCTGAGCCACCCAGGCGCCCCTGTTGCTTTGGATTTTTGGAATAGAAATAGGCATTATAAAACTCAAAGAGGAGCTGATTAGTTCAGGTGCATTCAACTGGAAACGACTCGAGGTGTCATGATAAATGTTAGCCAGGATAAGCATCATCAGTAAGTAAATGGGGCAGGATACAGCATGCTGGTCAAATTGTCCACAACTTTAGGGAAGTTAACCAGTATGGTTAACCGGGGAACCAGCCTGGTAGCTTTTGTATTATCATGTCCTTTTCAAATCGAAATAAACTTGGTTGCAGGTTAGGTTTGCTGATTTCCCAAACACTCTAAAGGAAGCAGCAGGATCATGAATGTATTCCAGGGATAATGTCAAATCATCCTTTTTTTGGAGCTTTCCAGGAGATGGGAAAAGAGAAACAGCATGATAATTGCAAAAACTGTAATAGCTAGTTTCCCTCCAGCAATGAGCATTACATAAACATTTAAAACATAAATACAACATCTTGCCCATTCTCTAATGTTCCCAGTGACTCATTAGACCTCCTCCATTATAGACGCTCTGTTCTCTGAATTGAATTTCCTACCAGGAGGAAACTTTCTAAAGAGTCGCTTATTATAGTCAAGGAATAGTCCTCACTCCCATTCAGTGCAGGTGACTGGCCAAATAATATCATTCTGAGGTCATTATTCTGGAAGTAACAATACACTGTGTTCATTTGCCACTGCAATCACTACTTAGTTTTGGGGAAAGCATTGGAATCACAGCTGAGAAATATTACAAGCAGTTGCAAAAGTTTCATTGGCCTTTTGTAGATTGTAGAATAAATTCACCCATTCCAGGAAATGAAATAATCATATACACATTTGAATTCATTGAGGTATTTATATAGGAGCATATATACACTCATCCAAATACATGGAGGTAATAGGAAAGGAGCAAAGCAGCATTTCCTACTTAAACATTGGCAGCTGTGTACACATGTACAGGATCATGCAGGATTGCATGATCTCATACGGGACTGAGACATCCAATCACATCTCTTGCCAGAGATGGTAACGAAGAGAAAAATAAATCAACCTGAGTTGGGCCATCTCTCCTTAGGATTGATTGAATGAACATTGGTGAAGATGCTAAAGGGTCCAAAAAATAGTTATCAAGACAAAAGAAAGAGTAAAGAATGGACTCTGGGAGATCTATATGTGCAATCATTTATTCCCAAAGTATCTGAAGTTGGCTCTATCAAGGTTGTCTTATACACATGGAGCCAGGTGTTAGCTGGGATTCCTGTACTTGAGATTTAAATAGAATTGCTTCACCTACAAATTACACATCCTTGTTTTCCTCAAGATTTGTGTGGATTCGAGGGCTTTGTGTTCACACAAAGGAAATCAAGGAAATCAAGGAAAACTTCGATTTCCTGTTGGGGGACCTTTCCTTCCTACTGCCATCTTGCCCCGGGCTTGCTTTCTCTTTTCTGTCTAGCAGAGCATTGAGCAGGGCTCTTGTGTGCTTCTCCTTGCCTCTCAAACACTCCCCACGTAGATCACTAAAGTATGGACTGTGACTGCAGATTTGAGGGCAGTGTCAGAGCCTCAGATGACAAAGCACAGCAGATGAGGTAAGGTGGAATATTTGATTTCTTTCATAGTCTTTGGCTGCTATAGAGAATTCTCCTTGGCCAAAATTTCCTCTCTCTGTCTTTTAGCCCCCTACCATCCTGCTGTCCTCAAAATTTCCCCTTATGTCTCCTTAGTAGGACTGCACTAAAATGTCATCGTTTCTTCTCCCTTTTCATGCAGAGTGATTCAGCTTTCTCATTGTCTGTCCCTGTTTATCCTGGCCAAACCCTGAGGCCTACCCTTCCATAGCCAAAATGTCCTTTCCAGGTGTTTTACTGGGCAAAGATGATTCACTTAAAAGAAATTCGACAGCTGGCCCTTGAGTTATGCCTCATTGAACATTTTGTTGTAGAAGCGTGGCCCACTGTTCAAGACAATCTCCAGCGAGTCCCTAACAGTCCTCTTGAATTTTATTCCCCTCCAAGAGACCTCTGCTTATAGGATCTGCTGTGCTCATTGCCACTTAAAAAATGCAGTTATTCCTTGGCTTTGTCCATACGGTTTCTCCTGCTTCAATGTCCTTCTTCCCCTTATTTGTCTGA